GGAAAGCAGTCAAGGACGGCCCAAAGCCTTGGGACCCTGCACCCGCGTGGGAGACCCGGAAGAGGCTCCTGGCTTCGGGTTGGCTCAGCTCCAGCTGTTGGATGGAAGATCTTCCTCTCTGTCTCTCCTCTCTGTATATCCGCCTTTCCAATTAAAAAAAAAAAATCTTATTAAAAAAAACCACCTGTGTAATGAGTACTCGCTATGTGGCAAGTGTTAAACTTGATTTACTCATTTCACCCTCACAATTCTATTTCTATTTTGTAAATGAGCATCCGAGGCTTGGAGAGGCTGTGAAATTTACCAAAGTCTTCACCAGTGCTGAAATCTATCTGGTCTTTTGCTACTTCCTTCCTGTAACTCGGGAGCTGCACTTAGATTCCCTTACTTCCTAAAAGTATTTGACCGCTTCTGAGAAGGTTGTCTTCCACATAGGCTGGAAGTGAATCATGAAAGTGCCTTTTAACAGTGTTACTTCTGAGCTTGAGACCCGTGGAAATGTCTTATTACCAAGTTCTCAAAGTGTGGTCTCCAGTTCAGCAAGGTGGGCATCCCCTGGGAGATGTTAGAAATGCTTACTCCTGGGCCCAATCACTTCAGGCTTAACCACTGTAAGCTTCCCGAATGAAAAACTGAGGGCAGGACTTCTGATGCTGCTCATTCAATCATCACCTTTAGATGGCGCTGGAGAAGCTGTGATCTGGCCAACACCCTCCTTGCTGCCTTACCTTGTTGCTCACTGCCTCGCCCACCAAAGTACATATAGATCCCTTCCACATGCCATAGCTGTGTCCTGACCAAGACCAGAGCCCCTCGATGTTAGGCACAAGAATTTTGGAGTCAGAATGCCTGGCGGTCACAGCCACCCATATCATTTCCTAGTAGCTGTGCTCTTAGTCAAGTTGCCAGGTCACTCTAAACCTTACAGCCTCCATACACAAGATGGAGCTTGAGGCAATAATAATACCTACTTCGTTCATTGTTATGAGAAAAACACTTAGAGTGGTGTCTGGCACAGATACATTGGCCATTTAGTAGCATGATATTTAACTTGATGGCATTGTAAATTTTTTTTTACTTCATTCTTTTTCATTTTGTTTTATGGTTTTTCATTTAGGGGAATGTATATTAACTGTGTAATAGAATCTGTCACATCCAGATGTGAAAATACAATGCAGTATGCATCTCTACTTCCAAATCAAAGATGGACTCCCAATGAAACTGTTAAATGAATCTTGACTATAGAATGCTGGACTGTCTGCTGTTGTCCATGCCTGCAATGCCAGGATACATCTAAATAGCAGCGTGATGGACTTCTGACTGCGTCTGAAGGGCTATACTATTGTAATAACGTAGGGGAAATCAGTAGAGGGCGGAGAGAAATTGGAGAGGCAGTAAGGAGATCCAAGAACCTATGGAACTATATCATAAAATTAAAAATAATACTAAAAGAATGGTATCTGATACATTGCTGGTGCTCTAGAAATAACTATGGTGCTTGCTTGCTGTGTTGGTTTTCTGAGACTATCATGTTGCCACAGACTTAGTGGCTTATAATCACAGAGATGTGTCCTTCATGCTTCTGTCAGCCAAAAGCTCAATGTAAGTTGCACTGATCTGCACTCTCCCCTCCTTCACCAGTGGCTTCTGGGGGCAGGCAGCATTCCTGGGCTGACAACTGCTTTGAGCTGATTGCCTCTGTTCTCGAATCAACTTTTCCTCCATGTGTGTCTAATCACCATCCCTTTTCTTTTAAAAGGACACCTGTGATTGGCTTAGGGTTCACTTGCATACTCTTAATCTCATCACACCTGCAAAGACCAGTTTTCCAGACATTTCATTTGCAACTTCCAGAGATTAGGACTTGGTCCCTTTGGAAAGCCTACGCAGCCTGCTGCTCATAAATTATCTGGCCTGCCTGTATTTCTCTCTTCTGTTTCTTTCTGTTTCTTTCTCTCGGACTTAGTTTGCCTCCTTGAAGCTTTCTCTTACTCAATGCCATTGAATTCAGCTCCTCTGTGCCCCTATAATTTTTTGAACAAATACCTGTCATTGTGTTTTTTTTCAAATACACTATTCTGCTAAGATCTATTCACTTATGTTAAAGTCAGAGTTATAGACAGAGAGAGAACTTACACGCACTGATTCATTCCCCAGCTGCCTGCAGATGTCTGGGACTTAGCCAGATGGAAGCCATGAGATTCTTCCAGGTCTCCCACAAGGAAGGCAAGGACCCAAGAATTTGAGCTGTCCTCTACTGTTGTCCCAGGCCATTAGCAGGTAGCTGGATTGGAAGTGGAGCAACTGGGACGTGAACAGGTGTTCATTTGGGATGATCGGTAGCTGCTTGACCAACTATTCCACAACACTGACCCTCAGCAGACTATTTAGAGTGGTTTCAGAAAAATTACCTAGAAAGCACAGAGAGTCATGGGGGCCTCTGCCCACCACTACCCTTGCCCACCACTTAGAGTTTCTTTATTTGTTACAGCAAATGAGCCAGCACTGATTCCTACTAACAAGAAGCTCATAGTATACACTAGTGCTCACTCTTTTTTGTATAGTTCTAGGGGCTCTGACAAATGCATGAGCTACTGCAGCCATCGTTACCTTGTCACACAATTTCAAGGTCCTAAAAATGTCCTGGGCCCCAGTGTCTCATCCGGCTATCTGGCAAAGTCAGCAGGCCCTTGCTGCTCACTGCTGGGCAACTGTTCAGCAGACAGGAAAGTTGGTGAGAGGCAAGAGGCAAGTGACTGACAAGTAGTGGTCCTGGGGATAGAAAAGTGCTCTTCTCCCCACCCTGCAAAAAAAAAAAAAAAAAAAAAACAGCAAAAGGAGGTTCTAAAGGGAAGGAGTAACTCCAGAGGGAGGCCAGACATAGGTAATTCAGCAGATTTTCAGGCTCTGTCCTGCTGATGGTCTCGTGGTGCCTTCTTGCTGGAGCTCAGCTGCCTGCAGTAGACTGCCGCCTACCCTCCCTGCAGCTGGCTGGGAGATCAGCCTTTGCAAATCATTTCGTTTCTCTAGGTTCCTGAAATTCCTGTGCAAACATTGTTAGTCACTGGACCCAGGTGGTAATGCTCAGTGCCAGCAGCTGGTCCTGGCCAGCCAAGAAATCAAAAGGGAAGGGAAGAAGGCCTCGTGATAGTTGCAGTCCCACCTTATCCCCTTGAACTTCCAGCAACCATGGAGCACTTTACTGTCTTCATAATTTTGCCCTTTTCCAGAACAGTTGGAATCAAGTAGCTTGTGGCATCTTTGACTTGGAAATATACAATTAATTTTCTCCACATCTTTTCACGGATTGATATAGCTGATTTGATTTCAGGGTTCCATAATACACCATTATCTGAGTTCTATAGTTTATTTCTACCTCCACTGACTTACGGGCATTTGTGTTTCCAAGTTTTGGCAATTATGATTAAAGATCCACATGCAAATTTTTGTACCAACATACTTTTTCATTGCTTTGGATAAATAACAAGGGGTGCAGTTGCTAGATCATCTAGTAAGCATATATTAAGCTTTCTATATAAAAAAAAAACAACCAGCCAGAATATCTTCCAAATTACTTGTACCATTTTGCACATCCACCATCAGCAATAAACGAGAGATCCTGTACCCCCACATCCTTGTCAACATTCAGTATTGAAAAGGTGTAACTGGTTAAAGTTTAGGCAAACTGAAACTCTTCTATCCCCGCAAAATAGTTGTTACCTCTTTGTCGATTTGATATGCTCACCTTCCCTGGATGCATTTGAGAGCAGGGCGCATGCTCAGACCCCAGCCTCTCTTTGCAAGTCTACTGGGGAGTACCACTCCCGGCCTTATAAAAAGAGGCGGAAGTTGCGTGCTGATTTTCCACTGCAGAACGCCCTTGCATACTTTTATGTGGAGAGTAGCTTCCCAGGAACCTCTCGCACTAGCTGCCTCTCCACTCTTGGAAGGACCTTATCAACACAGGTATTGTTTTATTTACTTATTTTTTTCTCTGTGTCTCATTTGTGTGCAACTCTTTGGCCTACACCTGTTGATTGTTCCTTGGTATGAAAAGACCAACACCTGTGCCTGAATGATGTTTCTTCCCCCACTGCTAGATAAATGTTACTCTTATTTGCCCATCATACCCTCCTCTACTTGGTATTTCTATTTATGTGAGAGACAAGAACCTGCTTCAAAAACTAATGTATCCAATGCCCACATCAATATGGTGTACGGGATTGCAGCTTTGCTGTGAGTTTGTGGCAGTCTCTCGTTGTTGCTCTAATTCGTACTTGCCTGGAGATATGTGATGGAGAGCATCTTCTAAGTCTACTTGCCATCTGTGCATTTCCTTTGCCGGAGAGTCTGTTCTGACTTGCGTTGTTTCATTGCTGAGCTGTAATAATTTTTTGTATATGCTGAGTACATGTTCATCAGACATGTTTTGCATGTGTTTTCTCCGAGTCTTTGTCTTTCTCTTTACAGTGTTTCCTGGAGAGCAGGTTTTTATATTTTTAACAAGGTTCTGCTTACCATTTTTTTCCTTCATAGATCATGCTTTTGTTGCTCTTTTCAAAAAGTCATTACTAAACCAAAGGTTTTCTAGATTTCTTTAAATTTATTTAGGTAAATATGCCAGTAATTCAATGGATAAGAATTAATCTGTGTGGATTTATCACCTTCATGGTCTGTTAGAAGTTTTACAGTTTTGTGTTTTACATGTCGACCTATGGTTCCTTTTGGGTTATGTGCTAATCTTCCATTGTGCTTGCGTTTAACTCACCTGTACTTACTTAGTTCTCAGTATTAAGCAGACCTCCTCAAAAAATAAGTGAGTGAGCATCCATTATCCTGTCCAGCAACTCAGTTCATTTTTGCCTTTTAAAACTTTTTATGTTTTTAACTTCAGATTTCATTTATTTTTAGATAACTTTTTAAAAATCTATCAATTTGCCACTGTTTTCTTTTTCATGTTTATTTTATATCTTTAAAAATGTACGAAATTTTGATCATTTAAAACTGCAAAATGCTTCATGACTTTCTGTATCATCCTTGAACAGGGGCAATGCTAATCTTCTCTGTGTAACTGACTTTAGGTTCTGTGCAGCTGCAGCTAGCACAGCTCAACCAATTTTAAATGCATCAGGAATCTAACTGTGAAGGAAAAGACACAGGACTTCTGGCTTGGCCCTCTGCTTGACTGCTCCCAGAAACAGAGCAGCTGCTTCCGTGGCCTGCCCAGGACTGCGGAGTAAAGCAGTGTCAACAATGCAGTCCAGCTAAAAACCTAAGAATAGACTAAGCTTTTATTTCCATTGGAGCTGAATATACTTCCAGTGGCAACCTACAAAAGAATGCCCTGTGGCTTAGGGTCATGGTAAGGTTGAAGAGTCAAAAAGTTAAAATGTCATGTGGCCATTCTTCCATTAATTCAGTATGAGTCACAGTTTCCTGGGGGGAAAAAAATCATCTTTCTATTTATATGCTTATGGATTTAGAAATAAAAGCAAGTATAAGAATCTATAGAATTTTTTCTATGTTGGAAGCAAAGAAGTATATTAATCCTAACTTCCTTTCTCATGGAGAAACATAACAAAATGTTCAGATGTTGTTAGTACAGTGATCATGCAATATAATTTGACTGCAACAACCTCAATTTCAAACAGTTACAAATTTCAAGTAAGTGTGATTTAACATAAACCTTTAAAAAATTTTATGTGAAAAAATTCAGAAAAAAATTCAAGAAAATTATTTGTTGCTTCTTTTTAGAAGCTGTCTTAAGAACAGGCTTTATTTGGGCCAAAGACCCACTAAACCAATACCACTCTAGTTAGACTCTCCCTAAGAGTGAAAGCCTTGACCTTTAGTTTAAGTTGACCACTGCAACTTAATTATAATGCAGCAGTTGTTGTTTAGTCCCAATGTCATATTTATAATGATAATGTATAGCCTTTACACACACGCACGCACACACACACACACACACAAAATGGGTAGGTTATTTGTGGATGGTGAACTATTTGATCTTTTGGTAAAAACGCAGTCAAGTCAGGATTAATGGCCAATTTTGCGTGGGCAGTGCTTGGGACCACAGAAATGAGAAATAGGCTATCTTTGACAATAACTTGCCAACAGCCCCTCCAGCCTTCAGCATGCTCAAAACTCTAGTACCAGTTCTCTCGTGGGTGAATAATGGCTCACAGCTCCTTAATCTAGGTTCTATCCTACTGGTATTGAAATTTGGAGCCTCGTTCTACCTCAATAGCAAAGCGATGAGTTCTAGTAACAGCCATTAAAAATGCTTACAAAATGGAAACAGAATTTTGCTTTCTTGAGAAAACATGAGGAAGATAAGCAAACAATTATAGATATTGTTAATTGACTTTCTTGTAACTCCTAATGTGTCTTTTACATCCAGTCCCAAATTGCCTGCTAGGTAGGTCAGAATCTTTATCTATTTGCTTGATTAACTGAAGCAGCCCTTTCTCAGTTCTTTTTTGCGCTATATCAGGGTAGTTAGAAGGATGGGTCTCAAAGGGCATGCTGGTGATGTCTAGTGTATTTGGATGGGATATTTTAATGTTCAGACAATATGATCTACAGTGGAAGGTCTCTGGGGGAAGTCAGTAGACATGGCAAAATGATGTTGAAATATATTGCCTTGCTTACCCATCAAGGCAAGCTAGTAAACAGAGTACAGGTTTGCAGGCAATTTTTAGAGAGGCAAAAAGATAAGTGCATTTTAAACTGTGACTAGACTGTCTTGATACCAACCCCCACACATATACACATAAATGTAATAAAAACAAGAGTTGCAAATGTAATACCATTTAAAACTAGTATACTGGAATACTTTTCTCTGTCCTATTTCCAGAAATATTAGATCTAGTTGCAAACTGTTGAATTGGTCGTGATTTGCAATATGGAGGTAGGAAAGGAATTGGAGACTAAGATGCTGACTGTGTGAGGGGCAACTCCAGATTGGCTGCAAACACAGTTTCTCTGTATGCAAAACCAGGGAAATGCTGCCCTGTAGGGTTGTATTGGTAGCACATGGAAGAAGATGGGTCTGGGTATCTGATTCTGCACCACCTGTGGGGAGATGCATCTCAGCATTTCTGCTTGCTTTAATTAGATGTGAATTCAAATCCTGACTTGAACTAGTCGTATCACTTGTGCACTTGTGTATCTCTTTGTCATTCTCTGGGGCAAGTAGGTGCTAGTGACCAACCCTCTAAAACTATCATTAAGGATGACATGAGGCCGTACATCAACACAATGTGGTCTTCCAAAGAGACCCCTAACTGGGCCTTTCGTTTTCTTTCCAGCTCCACCTATTTCTCTTTCCTACTTGCTGGTATCACCTAGGAGAGCCTTCTCCAGAAATCAATGAGTAAAAAAACACAAGGTGCCAACCTCCCTCTCAGCAAATCTTGGTTCCTTAGTTGACTAAAGAAGGCTCCTAAGCAGGCAGGCTTGGCTCTGCACCTGGATGGGTCTTTCAGAAGAGAGACCTTTTTTCATCTTGCTAAAAGCTCTGCTAAAGTGGCTCCTCCATTATCCCTATTGTATGCTTTTCTCTTTTGGATGATTTTTCTGACCCAGAACATTCCTCTCTCGGCCCTTTTGCCTGTTCCTCACCCTGGGCTTTGGTTTCTGTGGTTTGCTGAGTGTAGAGCTCCGACTTTTCCTTTGAAAGCCCACAGTGCTGTGGAAGACCCCTTTCCCCAGGACCCTGCCTCCATCCATGACTCGTACTGTCCTTTCCCGTGCTGTAATCCCCTGTCACCCACCAGACATGGCTCATGAGGTTTGGTTGCCTTTACACCCCTCAGTTGTGTGTCTAGCTCTTGTGTGACTGTCCTCTCCCAGAAAGTGATAAAGGCAAGTGACAGTTATCTCTGTAGCTTGGTCAAGACTTGAGACCCACAGTTCCTTAGAGGTGAGAGATTCTATTTCCCCCGTCTTTAAACATCCCTCCACATGAATCTGCTGGCCATTCTCAGTAGGAACTAAGTAACTGTTGAAGGGAACTGATTTCCCCTTATTTTAGAGGAAGCAAGAAGAGAGCAGGTCCTGAGAGTTGTTGGGGAAAACTAAATGCCAATTAAATGTGAATTTCAGATAAGGATAAGCAATAAGTAATTTTAAAGTATAAGCATGTCCCAAATATTGCATGGAATTACTTATGCTAAAAGTTATTTATGGTTTCTTTAAAATCCAAAATCGAATTTGATGCCCTGTGTTTTTCTCTGCTAATTCTGGCCAATCTACAACGGATTGTAAAAAAAAAAAAAAAAAGTACAGATTATACCATGATCATTTGAGGTGTTCTATACAGAGAGAGTACACAAGGCAATGCTTTTTTTTTTTTTTTTTTAATTCTTGAGCGAATGGCCCTGACCTTCAACTCTGACTCTGTTCATTGCTGGCACTCGTGTCTTCAGCAGTAGGGCCATCACTCATCAGACACAAACACAGGTTGCTGTTCCCTAAAGAAGCCCTCCAGGTAGCTCCAAAGCCTGTCCCACACCTGCCCTCCTCAGAGTCCTTGAAGCCAGGGCAGTGTATCAAACACAAGGAATCATTTTTCTAGAGAAAGATGCTAGGTTCACATAAATAACATATCAGGCTGCTGATGCCTTTTCTTATATGAATAATCAGTTGTATGCTCTATGTCACTTTCCTGTCTCTATGTACATGTCAAGTTAATCAAACAGCTTTTTCCCACAGCTGTTCCTTTCGCTCAAACAATATTTGTTTCTAGTTGCCTCAACCTGAATAACCACCCTTTGAAATACATGCTCTCTGCTGTTTAACACCTTTATGTGTCTCACCAAAAGTGGTAAAAAAATTTCAGTGTAGTCAATAAACCCTACTTCTAAAAAATGTTCTCACCGTTTCACATTCCCAGAAATGAGATGAACACACACTCATAAAAATTAGAATAAAAACATTAAAGTATATAAAATATTAAGTTATCAAATTAGAAGCCATTGCAGCTCCCTTCTGATTACTCCAAACTCAGTCCTTCCCTGTGAATCAACGTATATATGACGTCTGTAACAAGTTCATGGAAAGCAATTATTGTGAAAAACTTAAACATGGACTTTAAAGTATTTTTGCACCAAAGTCAACTTTTTTGAAGTGCCTTGTAGAAGGAGTGAGTGCTTATGACTCTGATAAGGCCTGCACTGCTCTCTGCTTTCTGAAGAGTTGTCTCAGTGGGATTCGACCATGTTCCACCAAAGCATCCCATGTGTGGCAAGAGTATGTCCTCTGCTTGTTCTCATTCAGTGTGAGGGCAGAAGGCTTCTTTGTCTTATCTTTACCTTGACTGAAATAAAATAAGTAACCCAGAATAACCCCCTGTTTGTTAAGCCAGCCATTGTCCTAGTCCTCTGTTTTGTTGGTGTCTGCTTCAATTTGGAATCATGTGCTGTGGAAGGCACAGTTCCCCTGGACTCCATCACGTTTGTTTTTTGCTTCCAATCATTCAATGGTAACTGTATATTTCAAAGGTCACCAATGAGGAGGGCGGTCAAATGGAAATACTTCTGAAAGTGAAAGGAGATATTACTACTAATTACAGTAGGACAATAGACATAGATCAAGAACCTTGCTCTCAGGATACATATCACGAACCTTCCATCTGGGCAGATACTGGTTCATTACTCAAAAGCCCTTAACATCCAGGACTTAGCAAGGCTGAAGCCAGGAAACTGTAATGTATCCAAAATCTCCAAGCACTTGAGTTGTCCTGTGTTGCCACGCAGGCTGTGCAATAGCAGGAAGCTGAATTGGAAACAAGGTGGCACAAGCTTGAACCAGGTACTCTGATATGGGCTGTAAGAGCCATATCTTACAATCTGAGCCAATCTTCCATCTGATGAGTTAAAAGACCTCTCCCTAGACTCCTTCTTGACCTTGGATGGCACTAGTTATGAAGCTTTCTGGAAGCTTTTCTTCCACTGATCTCCTTTAACACAACTCCCCTTTGGTCTCTCCTTTGTCAGACCTTTGCTGGATAGTCTTTTCTCTATTGGAAAAGTTTTCAGACTGCTTGCTTGATTCTTCTGATTGCTTGACTGTCCAGACCCTCCCCCCAACCAGAAATCCT